TTCAATAAATTGTCTTAATATCTTCCAAAATAGTGCACACTAGTATACGCCCGACTTCCGCGTCTGAGTCTAGTGCGAATGCCAAAAACCAATATATAGCCGGCTTTTGGAGATGAACAATTACATGCCTTGTGTAGCACTTAGCAAGGGATGATAGACAACAACTTTGGGAAACAATAATGAAATTGCTCGTGCTCGGAGACCTTGCGCTAACTGGAGACTGACACTCCCCAAGATGGATGGGTGTTGTCATTCCACAATGGAAGAGGCGGAAGAGGCTTGATTTTATCCGCAAGGGGCATATTTTTCCGCACAATTGTGCCATCCTCTCACATTTTGGCCAGGTTTGCTTAAGTTTGTGTGTTGATGTCAATGTCAGATATTGTATATTTCGATCATGACCCATAGGGCCTTGGCCGGTTGTCGGGGATTCACTTGCCGGAAGGACACTGCGAATTGACGATTTTTTTTGGATAAACTGATTCTTTGCCCAGAGGCTGGGCTCAATTGGCAAGAAACAACAAATCAAAGGCGCAGATGATCCCTGGCACCAGGATGTTCGCAAAGAACCTTGAAACAAACATCCCAGTGGGTCCCAGTTCCCCTATAGTTATAATAAGGAACGCGGATTTCTGGTCGTCACTTGCCTCCGAGATGTGGGTGCAACCCAGGAGTTTGGCCTACTTGGAATTGGATAGAGAACGGTAGAGATTTGCAATGATTGATAGGAAGGGACAATAAGACTAATGAGCTGTGAGAAACCTGGTATACGTACTTCAAGCTCGGCGGGGAACCAAAGAGAAAATGTCTACAGTAGCCAACCTATGACAGCTCGCGCCAGCCTTTGTCCCAATGTCCCACCGAGGATGATCGTTCCAATGCACGAGGGCGCAGGCATCACCGTGCGAGAAACAAAGTGTTTTAGTCGCCCAATCACAGCGCCCCTTGGCTGTGAGCAGAATTGTAAGGCAGACAGGACTTTGGTTTGGTCACTTCGAGTTTGAGTTTCAGAGCTACAGCACCGGAGACTCGGAGACCCTAGAATGTCAAACATGTTGACAACCGAAGTGCGCTGTTTGATCTTACCTGTTCATCAATGTTCATGCCACCCAGTGCACCCCTCAAGCACAGCTTGGTTTTGCAACAATTAATATACATGTCATGATCACAATGATCTTCCGGCGGTTGACACCTATTTGGGGCAAAAAAACGGGTGGAACTGTGGTATTGCTGTACAGGGTTTTATGTGGCTGTCCGGAAAAACAATTCGTAAAAACCGATTGTTTTTGAGGTGTCTAGGCTTCAAAAATGGCCGAACAATTGACAAAAACCAGTAAAGATTGTGTCGGAAATGTTTTTTTGTGCTTTTGGAGGCTTCAAAAGGGTAAAAAACTACGGTATTTACGCGGTTTTGTGCGCCTTCCCGGCGCAAAAACCCTGCAAATATCGATGGTTTTAAGCTATGTAGGCTTCAAAGTGGCCACAAACTTGGCTGATCCAAGCACACAAGTTCGTCTCTCCCATGCAACCTCGACTCTTTTTTTCACGGCGTGCGATTAAAGGTTTGCAGTGTGGCATTTTGCCATTTCACCCAAAGAGATACATCACGTCTCACCTTCCGGGTCCTAGCCAGAACAGGATTCAGATCAAGTCTTCACAATATGTCCTGACGTGCTTCCGCGCTTGCTTGAGACGACGTAAAGATCTTTGACCGATAGATTGTGCCGGGCTGATGGAAGTCCGTAGTAGCCGTAGTAGTCACTGTGAAACGAAGGATTTCGAACATCCAAACTTTGGGCCAGGGCCGGGCCAAACACGAATTTAGGTGTTGCGCTTCATGCTACCCGAAGCCCGTCCATGGTGGGGAGATCTTCTCCAACTACATATCAACGACAGGATGACCTGAGTAGGGTGGCACGTGAAGTGACTGACCTGGTTTACAATCTCCTTGTAGCTGCAATTGATCAGAGCATCATGCTGCCATTCGACTGCGGTTGCCGCGGTTCCCGCAAAGCCCGGGAGACGTCGCGTGACCGAAAGTGGCAAGGCTTTGGGTTGCAGAGGGTTAAGTGAAGCAAAGCTATTTCTATTGGACACCCCTTGGATGGTCCTGGAGCTTGAAGCTCACCTTTTCGACGGGAGAGGCTTTTTGATAGAAGACACAGCTGCCAGATCGCTTTGCAGTTGTGTAATGAGATATTAATTCAGCCGTTTAAGGCAGGATGTTCTGTGTAGCCGAGGTAGGAAGTAGCTTGCTCGATCTGGTGAACCATGAAGATAGTGTGTCTTTGAGTGCAGTTGCTTTTCCAATCTTTTCCACATGTTGTCGGCGGGCTGAAAGTCTTTTCGGGCACCTACCGAAAGGTAGCTCATGGTAGCTCTAAACGGTCATGGCATGTCATGGCTACATGCTTGGGTTCAAAAACCACAGAAGTCCACGTACCACAAGACTGTGGACTCATCACCCGTGTTTGGTGATGTTTGTGTTGGAGGCAATGACGTTCATCACCCATCCAGCGTTCATCCGAGGTCGGGTCGGCCAGATGGCCGACCAGGGGTCAATACATCGTTCCACCGAAGTTCGTGTCGCAGCCCAATGAGTCAAATGGTTAGTGCACTCTCAGAAAACGGACAAGAGGTCATTTGCAAAATGGAGAATGGTTGGCCCTTGCCTCGTCCCGTTGGCCCAACCTGTTCTAGTCGAGGCTCAGTAAACAGCTTCGCTACCCAACTGCGACGCCGAGTGGAATCCCACCTCACTGGGTCAGCTACACCAGCAGCAGTCAGCAACCACTTTCTTGCTACTAGTAACAGATGCATCGTTACTAGTAACAAGTGCATCGCTACTAGTAGCTTCTTGATAGCTTCTTGCCACTAGCAGTAATGCACTTGTTACTAGTAGCTTCTTTGGAAATAGCCTTTCCTGGCCATCACCACCCAGGTTTGGTGGTAATGAGGCCTCAATCATACTCAATCTATCGGCTCTCGTGTTCTTGTGATTCTTGTGCTTGCCACCTCCATCCGCAGACTCCGCATTTTAGCTCGAGTACTTGCCCCGTCGCCACCGGGCTTTTCGTTGTTCACTGACCTGTTGCCATGAAGTCTTTGTTGGCTTGGACGCCCAAAGCAGGACGGTTTGGGAGATGGGCGTAAGACGAGCTTCTGTGGCATTCCAGACCTTAGCCGTTGCACAACAGTCGTGGTCTAAGACATGACGACCATACCCTGCAAGATGCAGACACCGCTGGTAGGTGTGCCACCATTCTACATTCTACATTGATGCTAGATGATGCTAGAAAGAGCTACCATATATGAGTCAAGAATTCATTGCATTGGATGCACGGTCAGCTCATTACTTTGTTAGCACCTAAAGGGCTGGGATTCCAGTTCTTTCATGCTACCTCAGCAGTGAGAGAACTCTACTCTACTTTCTTGGAATCGCGAGTGGGTGCCGCAGTGGATTGCTTCAGACGGGGGCTGCTTCAATTCACGCACCTCAAAGAATTAGAATCCTGGGTTTTGCACACTTGAGGAGGGAGCAAGGAGAACTATATAGGGAAAAGATGTGAAATCCCGAGGATGCTTCAGGAATCAGAGACTAGTGAAATGATAACCTTCGCCAGTCTCAATGTTGTGGCTCAAGCGCCAAGTTGGGCAGAGTTGGCAAGAGTCTAGTCACAGACTGAACTGTGACAGACCCTTAATTAATGATCCGCCTCAAAAAGGCACTCATATACACACCCAACTGTGTGGAAAACTTGAATGTGATGCATTTTTCACCAAAGAATTGAAGAGGGTTTTTTTTTTGACGGGACACCGGCCGGATTTTGGTTTTCTTGTTGATGTAGAATTCACCCCCAGATCAGAAGATGGTAGAGTCTCTCGGAGAGACTGGGTACGGAGAGAGTCCTTGATCCAGAGTGAGCATCACAGCACATGCTTCTTTCGTTTCTATGGTTTGGCAATGTTTGGCATTTAGGGACAATGTGAAATAACTAGGCACCTTTTTCCTTTAGCAGCCCAAATCCTTTAAATGAAGAAGAACACCAGCTGATGGCGACCAAATAAAAGATGACGATGCATTCGTCTCGACCGACTCGTTCGCCCTGAAGCCGGCCGAGACCTCGGGCGGCCACGAGCCCCGCGACCACTCAGGTCGCTTTGATTTCGCTTCAAGTGGATGCTGCCATCGACTTCAACCACCTAGCGATGGTGCCAGCTGGGGATCCCATTCTTGAGCGAGCGGATTGGTGGTGTCTGCGCTAGGATCGCTGCCTTCCGCCAATGTAGACGGTGCAAGTAGAGACGATGTTCATATAAATATATACATAGAAATATATGTGTATCTATGGGAGCTCATGAAGTCTATTATTTATTCTGTTTGCAGTCCACTCTTCCTGAGGTCTCGCCCGCACAGAGCAACTTTATGTAATTATGCCTGCAAGAGGATAATAGCTTGCAGGCTGTTTTCTCTTGAACTTCTCGACATCATTCAGCATCCATGCAGGTTGCTTTAGCTAGTGTTACTCCTCGGGTTCAGAGAGCCAAGCCTTCCTAAAGACTCACAAGGTCTGGCGGTTATGCATCGTGGATGCACAGCATGCATGCAAGAGAAACGCAGCTGGATGGCAGCTATTTTAGGCCAAAGAAGGGCAGATGGCACCCTCAATCCGGAATGCATGAGGCTTTGCCCACTCTGATTGTGGAACCCCGGGGTCGCATGAGTCTCGCAAAACAGACCGAGCTCCTAGATGTATGTATGCTAGCCACTTAGAAACACCTTAGACTCATGTTGCTCACAAATGATTGTCCCATTGCTCCTTGAGATTTAGTACACATACACAATCTTACATCTCCAAAGCCACCAAAGCCTTTACATTGCAAGACAAAAGACTGCCTTCACAAAGGTATTGTAGTTCTTCTGTTTATGTAGTTGTTAGCCTCTTCGGTTTTGAAGTGTGTGGGCTTAGTCCAGTTCCAGATCTTTTTTTGTTGAACTGTATTCTCTTGACTCTTTACACAATGTATCATCAACATTGCCGCTATTTCAAAGCCCCCCATCCTGTATTCATACTTCATGCTTAGAAGAAATGTGGTTCATTAAGCATTTCATGTTTCAAGAGCAGGTTTTCTTGGTGTGGGCCTCGCCGTGTATCATGATTGTTTCCTGTATGCATTTTGAACAGGCCTTGTCCTGTGCAAAACGATTCCTGTTTGCAAAGTTAAATTTTGTGTAGTGAGAACTTCGAAGCATCACCATAGTGGAAAACACCTGTGGCAGTTCGTGAAAAGGAGAAAGCGGCTCAATGAAGGAGTTTTGGGAAGAAAAAAGGCCGGTGCAAGCATGTCAGGTGTAAATAGAGTGCTTTAATGTCAAGCAGGATTTAATCATACACTCATATCTAATGCGGATGATAATGCGGATGATTGTATGTTGACCGCAAATAATTTCATGTTGATAGTACATGCTTTCATATCAAGAGCATATTCTATTAATTGAAATCAGGGTAAATAGAGCACCGATCAATTTTGATGGAGATTGCATCCTTTAATAAAACTATATATTCAATGTAATTCAATTGGAACATTGCATTCGTTTAATGCATGTTGTTCAAAACTGTTTGTGTAGTTTGTGTTGTTCTTGTTGTTGTTGTTCTTGTTGTTGTTGTTGGTTGTTGGTTGTTTTGTTGTTGTTGGTTGTTGTTGTTGTTCTTAATATATGTCCCTTTAAAATGTGGTTGCACCAATTCAATTGAAACATTGAAAGAGACACATTGCTTTTACTTAATGGGGCTCCAAAGGCATTCCGAATTCCTATTGTGTGCGTGCGTTTTTTTTTTTAATTGTTTTATTTTTTAAAGGACATCACTTCAACAAGCTGAGAGCCA